TGAATTGAATTGAATTGGTTAGGGTTTGGTGTGTGACGCCCAGCTAGAAGACGAGGATTATCTCTGTATCCATAACTGACAACCATCAGATGACCACGTGGTTCAGGGAGGTCCTGGTCTGTGATCAGAATGAGTTCACTAACCGAACACTCAACCCATAATGCAACATTATAAAGTCCTGTCAATCACCTCCTGACCCCTCAGATTTATCTGCTGACCTCCTGGAGGGTCCTGACCCACAGGTTGAACACACACACACTCCTGCTGTCTGTCTAATTGTTCCTTTGGGAAACTAAAGTCGTGTGTGAATTATTGATAAATGTAAGAGCTGTAATGAAGCAAAAATTTGAAGTTAATAATTGATCAATAAGAATTCCCATAAGACAAAATAAAATAAATAAATAAGTCAGTAAAGAGATTTAAACCCTGTTAATGCGAGTAAACGATGAACTCAGTGTCATCTTGAGATATTATTAACTAAATTAATAATTAATTAAATATGGTCTGACCTTACAGATAAATTGTCATAGTTCATTTCCTGTGAGTTCAGGTAGAAACAGGTGCAGTTGCCTCAGTCATTATCACAGATACAATTCTGTTTGAGTTCTCTATTTGCTTTAACAAAGTTTGGTTTGTAGTAAAGGTGGGAAACTGAACCTGGTACTTCATTGACTCACCTTTATTACAAACCAAACTTCATGAAAATGGGATCAGAATGAAATTACAGTGGATTCTGGCAATCTTGACCAATATGGTGACCGCACCGACGTATAGCGGCGGCATACAGCCATGACCAATTATGTATCTATATTTCTGTATGTATGTGTGGACAGGTGTACTTGAGTGTGTAATAAAGAAGACAGTGTAGGATTCAGGGACATTTAGTGTTGATGTTGCAGATTGAAAGAATGTCTGCTGATGAACTACTGTAATATGAAGAAATCTGCAGAATTACAACCGATCGGTACAAACTACAGCCTCAGATTACTTCATATAACGCAGTTAACCGAACTTTGTGTGTCCTACTAACATACGTGTGTGATGGATTAACACTAATCTGATCAGTGTGTGTAAGTGTGTGTTAGCGGTTTATCATTTGACTTTAACTGCAGCTGCCAACTGTCACACTGCAGATTCAGTTAATCTGCAACTGAACAAGATCAAAATAACTGACTATAACTGACTGTAACTGACTGTCAGAGACTGTCACTGATTGTAACTGATGGTAACCGATACTAATTAGTAATTAACAATACATACATTATAATAGGCTATATTTCAGCGCACCATGATAGACCTGTGGCTTTCTGTCTGTGGATTTTCAGTGTTGATGTAGAATTTAGACTACTGATTTTATTCCACCATGGCTCACAGATCTGACAGACCTAGCATGATGAACATTTCAGACACATTATACATATACACCTTATGTATAACTGTAAGTCTTTGAGCATTCAAGTTATCATACAATTAGAGTCCTTACCCTCACAGAGCCAAGCAATGAGAGGTTTACCTGTTTTCACCTGAACTGTCCCATTGTTTCTACAACCTGATCAGAATAAATATTCCACAGTAACAGTAACTTTATATGAACTAGATTCTGTTTATGTTCTGCAGGAGAACCCGTACCTGTGCAGTGATGAGTGTGATGCTTCCAGCCCTGACCTGTCTCACCCTCCTCAACTAATGGGAGACAGGGAGAGGGGAGGGCTCATCACCTACTGGCAAACAGTCACATGGTCCAGGTTTCCTGAGCCTCTATTGGCCAACATCACTCTGTCCTGGAACAAGAGTCTGGAGGTGGTTGATGATATCATTGTCACCTTCGAGTATGGCCGACCAACCAGCATGGTGCTGGAGAAATCTCTGGACAAAGGTGATTGGTCTGTGAGGCACTGAGTGTGGAACACCAGCTGCTACTAACATGTGATCTGTATCAGATATCTGATCTAGTCAAGCTCTTCATCTGCAGAAAAGAAATGAGTAAAGTTCATACAGCAGTGTCACTTCAAGAGACTCTCAGACCACTATGACCTAAAGTGACTGACAGGTGTAGCTGAGCTAACAGTAGTGCTATTTTACATCTGCACTGGCTTCTCTTACAGTAGAAGTAACATCAGGCTCGTAACCCCCGACCCACCGTGCCACCAAAACTTAATCAGTTTACAAAAACACAAATTATTACTCATTCTAAAACACAGCTTTATTAGTGTACAAAAACGCATCATTGTGTTGCTGTAGATACCGAGCACAGGTGAGTGCTGTATATGCAGGTCAGAGGTCTGTGCTTTGATTGATGTAATAGTATATTATAATAAAAATAATATTATTAATATTAACTTTATTTCATAAGTTTGAGTAAAGTTCAATAATTTGACAGTTATTGGCCTTGAGAGACAGTTAAGAAAGATTTTAGTTCAATTCGATTCAATTCAGTTTTATTTGTATAGCACCAATTCACAACAGAAGTTTGCTCAGGACACTTTTCAAATAGAGCAGGTCTAGACCGAACTCCTTTTAACATTTACCACCATGAACAAGACCTTGGCGACAGTGGCAAGGAAAAACTTCCTTTTAAGAGGCAGAAAGCTAGGACAGACCCGACTCTAGGTGGGTGGACGTCTGCCTTGACCAGTTGGGGTTAGATGGAGAGAGAGGGGGGTAGAGGGGTAAAGAAAGAAGGACAAAGACAATAATACCTAAGAGTCAGGATAGATACAGGACAGAGGTCAGTGCGGTAGATACAGGACAGATCTTCAGATGTGAATCATGGACACTTCTTGCTGGGACTCTTTCGGAAGCCTGTTTTTGTCAAATCAAGTCAAGTTAATTTCTATTGTCAAAAATCTAAAAGTGCTTTACAGACCCACAACAGAAACAGTTCCCACCCCACAGAGACAAGCACACAATGTGTTCCTAAGTTTTTGTGTACAGGTTATAAATTAAAAAAAGACTTGTTCATAAACATGACAAAATGTGACCCGTTAAATAAAATGGTTTAGGTTTTGCCTAACAGTGTTGATTTTTGTGTAACAATAACTGTAGTGTTGTTATTAACTGGTTTTGATGGATAACTGTTATTAATCTGTGTTGTGTTTGTGTTTCAGGTGTAACATGGCAGCCGTATCAGTACTATGCTGATGACTGCCTGGAAGCATTTGGTATGTCTCCTAAACGAGTCTCTGATTTAGCACCAAGTAACTTAACCCGGGTTATCTGTACCGAGCAGTACTCCCGCTGGGTTGGAGCCAAGGTGAGTAACTGGACCTAACACTGGTTGCTCGGTTAATAAACGCTAATAGCACACAGTGTACAGGAAGACATTTACACAGGTTTAATTCTATCCAATTACATTTCACTGTTATTTGAATTATCTGAGAAACTTAAACTAGACATTGATTAGTAAGTGTTGAATAAAAATCATTCAAGTCCAGTTCAGGTATATGTGGTGGTGTGAGTTTATTTACATCCTGGTGAACTTACTAACCCAGAGCAGATCTGATTCGGTAAACTGACCCAGAGCAAATTAAATTAAGTGTTTTTATACACTAGAAAGTATGTGAATGGGGGCAATTGATCACCAGACGTTACATGATTAACATTAGCGTCAAAGGGAAATAAAGCAATGGATACAAAAGAACCAGCTGCCAGATATCACTTGGTTAGTCTGCTAAATGTGAATTTTCTTCATTACAAGTAAAAATCAATGTTTAAATAAGAAATCTGTGCTGTACTTGACCAGTGGCTGAAAAGCATGTTAACTAACAACAGGAGGAGAAGATTGTGGTGTTCGAGGTGCGGGCTCGGTTCGGGGTGTTTGCAGGTCCAAAGTTGATCAACATGGATGCCTTGTACACCCGGATGGAGACCATGAAAGGTCTGAGGGACTTCTTCACCTTCACCAACCTCCGACTGCGTCTCCTCCGCCCGGCACTGGGAGGGACCTATGTCCAGAGAGACAACCTGCTGAAATACTTCTATGCTATTTCCAACATTGACGTACCGGCCAGGTAACGAACTACTGCTAACCACAACCTACACCTGCTATGAACCAGCTATACCTGCTAACAACCAGAGATACATCCACTAACAAACCAAATGAATCCAGAGAAACAACCTTCCTGTCTTCATCTTGAAGTCACCATCTTGTTTTCTTGCATGCGTATGTGGAATGTGTCTATGTGTATGTAGAGGGGAAAAGGATTAGTTTAAGGAAGGTTGGGATCAGAATCAGAATCAGAAATACTTTAATAATCCTAGGGGGAAATTATTTAAAATGATGGATGAGAAGAGCTGAGCCAAGGTGGGTATGATGTTTCAAGACCAGAAGTTCTGATGTTATAAAGGTGTGTCAAAAAGTGTTCCAGTTGCCTGACTTTTGTGTTTCTGTGTGTGTTTCCTGTAGGTGTAAGTGTAACATGCATGCAGCTCAGTGTGTGTTACGTGATGCAACACTGCAGTGCGAATGTGACCACAACACGAGTGGACAGGACTGTCAACGCTGCGGCCAGGAATTTAAATCCCGCAGCTGGAGACCAGGATCATACCTGCCCTTGCCCAAAGGCACTGCCAACACCTGTACGTACCTGAACACACACACATACATTAAAGTTTCCAATAATTTATTTCTGTGTGTTCAGCTGTTAACCATACTTATTATTATTATTACTTTTATTATTACTACTGCTACTACTACTACTACTACTACTATTATTATTATTATTATTATTATAATATTTATATTTATGTCTTAAAACTGAAAAAACTAAAACTAATAACTTCCACTGACACACACATTATTCTACACACACTGAATAACACAGTCATATGTTTGTGTCTTTTCAGGTGAAGCAGCAGAAACAGCAGCCTGTAAGTACAGTTCACCTGTCTGTCTGTTCACCTGTCTGTCTGTTCACCTGTCTGTTATTCCCCCTCACTCATCTTAACACTTAAAAACTAGAGTAACATGGTCAGTGTTGCATCATGAGATTTCATCATTCATATTTTACAGTTTTAAATATTTCTGCATTTTTTACAAAATAACACTAAAGTGTGTTTTTACTTTGTGGGAGTCCCCCAGCAGTGGGCATATAGTTCAGGACTGACCTGGGAATAAAGTCTGAACGTTAATCTGTTGTTAACACACTGACAGATGGTGTATGTGTGTGTTTAATCTGTGTTAGTCTGTTTTAACCTGTCAATGACACACAATCCAGAGAGATCCTATAGATGCAACAGTGATCAAATAATCGTATAATAGAGTACAACAAGAACCATGGAACCATAGAACCATAGAACCATGGGACCATGGAACAATAGAACAATAGAACAAAAAAAACATAGAACCATAGAACCATAGAACAATCTGACACAGGAGATGTACCAGCGACTGAATCCATACAACTCAAATATGGACACAAAGTTGATATTTAGTGTCTCAAACAAGTGAAAGTTGATTTCCCATTCTGCTGAAAATTAATGTATAATTAAAATGAAACTCTGGATTTGAATGAGGAGGTCCGGCAGTGTGTGGATTTGGTGGCTGACTCCACGTCTCTGCAGAACAGAACTGGGTGTTTCCACATCACAGGTTTACTAGCTTGTTATCGGCTGGTTAGGCTTCGAAGGCTCTGAACAGTGACGGCAGCACTAAACTCCAAGAAAAATTATTATTAGTATTTATATCCACGACCACCAAGAACTCATCAGTATGTGCATGCTGCCCAGCAGGTAGGGTCAGGGTACACGAAAACTGTATATTTATATAATCGGGGACAGGTGTGTCAGCAGGTACTGTTCAGGTAACTGATGATAGAGTTGACACCTGCTGGACAGAGTGTGTATATCTGGGTCTGATATACAGCACTGAGATTTATTGTTGCTAGGAACTGTAGGAAGTTCCTTGGAGGGAAGTGGGGGGAATATGCTGTCTACCAACAGGGAGCTGGCTCGTGTCCAGTTCAGCACCTAGTTTACAAAACTTAAACATTTCAACCAACAATAAATTGGTTTGGAATCTGACAAAAGTTCTCCGTGGGAACCAAAGTGGGCATTTTATATTCCAGAGGTTGTTACCCTGTGTTGATGCTTTATTACAAAACTGGTGGAAATGCTGGCTGGTTTGATAGATAGAAACAAGGTTCAAGAATCTTGAATGGAACCTTTTGAAAGATTGCATAAGGAAAATTGCAGAAGGAAAATAGGTTTCAGATCATCCAACAAGCTCTTTGTTTGAAGCAAAATAACACCTTTATTATCTACAGGTTTTACAAAACATATTTTGGAGTCTATTGCCTGCCTGAGGGTCTCGGTGGGGGGTTCTAGGATTCCTTTTATTCACATTTGAGTAAACTGAAAAGCTCCCAGTGTTCTGCAGAGAGTTCAGTCAGTAGCTGCAGAGAACAGAAAGCTGAGCTTCACTAAAGAGACGTAACTCTTCTTCTCTGACAGCGGCTGGTGACTCTAACACAGCAGCATCTGATAGACCCTCTGCCTCATCAGATGGAGTGACTGATACTACTACTATTACTACTACCACAACTGACAGTACCACTACTGACAGTACTACTGACACTACTACTATTACTACTACCACAACTGACAGTACCACTACAGACAGTACTACTGACACTACCACCACTGACAGTACTAGTGACACTACTGACAGTACTACTACCATGGCTAACAGTACTACTACCACTACCACCACTGACAGTACTAGTGACACTACTGACAGTACTACTACCATGGCTAACAGTACTACTACCACTACTGATAGTACCACCACTGACAATACTTCTACCACTACTGACAGTACCACCACCTCTACTAGTGACAGTAGTACTACTTCAGCTACTACTGACAGTATTGTAAGTACTGATATTCCTACAACTGATGTAATTACCCCAAACAGCATTGGTACCACTATTGACATTACTACTTCTACTACTGACCTTACTACTACAGACAGTGCTACAACTATATTTATGTACAGGACGACTTCTGATGTAGCTTTTACAAGCACAGCAAGTCCTCTTACTGTCACAGATACAGCCAGTACTTCCACTAGCCCTGCAGAAACAAGTACTAATAATATTACCTCTATATTTGACACTGACAGTGTTCCTACTATCAGTACCACCATGACTGATACTCCCCTTACAACTTACTTCATTAGTACTAGTGATACTGGTGACTTTCCTAAAGCTGGTGTAGACTCTATAACTACATCAGCTTTTACTACTGTCAGTAGTACTGTTAGTACTGAAGGTCCTGGTGCGTTTCCAGACTTTAGCAGTACAGCAGGACCTACAGCAGACACAGCTCCAACAAGCAGTCCAACTCTGGAGACTGGAGACACTCTGTACAAACCAGCTCCCACAGTACCAACCACCACCACTCCCATTACCACTATTAGCACTTCCAGTCCCACCAGTTACACCAGTACAAACAGCCCCACTACCCCAGGCCGCAGTACTGACTCTGAGGTGTCTATTTCTGACCCAGTGCCTCCGCCCTCTGACTCCACCTCCTCACCAGACAGCACAGACTTCGTTGTATCTGGAACTGCTATGACCAACTTAATAACTACCCTGTCTGCTGATGGTACTACAATATCAACTGGAACACCAACAACTACAACCATCCCAGAAATACCCCCACCCAGTGAAGGTGCTCCATCTGGAGATACTCCACCCTCTAGGTTGGCCCCAACCAATCGGGCTGGAAGTCCTCCACCTCCAGACGCTGACACAGCTTCTCCTGATGTTCCTCCAGACACACCAATAGATGTACCACCTCCTGATGAAGCTCCTCCTGATGAAGCTCCATCTGATGTACCTCCTCCTGCTGTACCACCTCCTGATGAAGCTCCTCCCGATGTACCTCCTGATCTACCACTTCCTGATGAAGCTCCTCCTGATATACCATCTCCGGATGAAGCTGCTCCTGATGTAACTCCATCTGATGGTTCTCCTCCAGATGTCCGTTTTCCTGATGTACTTCCTCCTGATGTACCTCCGGATGAAGCTCCACCTGATGTACCTCCCTCTGATGTATCTCCTCTGGATGTTCCTCTTCCTGATGTACCTTCTCCTGATCTACCTTCTCCAGCTGTACTCCCCTCTGATGTACCTCCTGCAGATGTACCCCCCTCTGATGTATCTCCTCCAGATGTACCTCCAGATGTACCTCTTCCTGATGTACCTTCTCCTGATCTACCTCCTCCAGATGTACCTCTTCCTGATGTACCTTCTCCTGATCTACCTCCTCCAGATGTACCTCCTCCGGATGTACCTCCTCCAGATGTACCTCCTCCTGATGTACCTTCTCCTGATCAACCATCTCCAGATGTACTTCCCTCTGATGTATCTCCTCCAGAAGCACCCTTCTCTTGGACTTCAGACACTCCTCCAGATGTACCTCCCTCTGATGTACCGCCGCCAGATGTTCGCCCAGAAGTGCCCTCCTCTAAGACTCCTGACACTCTGATAGATGTACCTCCTCTTGAAGGAATACCTCCTGAAGTATCTCCTCCTAATGCCTCTGTAGAATCCTTGTTGCCTCCTGCTGAAGGAGGAGGAGGTGATACTGCACCAGACACAAGGTCCACTACCTTAGATCGGTCTGACTCTGCTGGGGATTTGGCCCCTGTGGACTTCACCTATCCATTTCCAGATGATCCAAATTCTGTTGATCCCAGGAACATTTCATATGATTCCCGTGAATCTGTTGATGTTACTGTACCAAATTCAGTTGATTCTCAACTGGATTCTGTTTCACAAGGGCTAGATATAGTGGAAACAGGAAATAGTGGAATGGAAGCCATTGGATCAGATTCCCTTGTACCAGATAGTGCAAGTCCTGGTCTAGATTCTAGACCAGATTTTCCTCAAGTAGTAGATGATCCAGGAGTAGATCCTTCAGCTCAAATGGAAGCAAAGTCTTCTGGAAAGGATTATGCTGCCAGAGGACCAGAAGGAGGGTCAGAGTTGGGTGAAAAGGAAGACTCTAAACAAAAGATGACAGGAAAGGAAAAAGGTATGAAATGAGGCACTGATCAATCAGATTAGAATAGTGTATATGTATAATATATGTGACAATGTTGGCCGCACATTCAGAGATTGTTACTTTTACTTTACTTTTACATCTGGGCTGGCCTTGAGCTTCACTCTTGACCTCAGTAAAATCAGCTTGCCAAAAATATTCCTAATAAAAGGTCAAAAACCCTTTCAACCACATATTGTGGCCTTCATCAGATGGAGTTGTTCAATTGTCATGGAGTTACTTGATATCATATGACCTAAATAGATTTGGTTGATAGCTTCAGAAACCAAAAGTAAGTTGGACCTTGGACTCATTCACTGTGATAGATTAAAAACTCTGTCTTTCACATTGTCACACAAATTTTAATATTTTACTCTGTTGAACCGAACAGTCACTGAGGCCAAAGAAGAAGCAAAAAAGGAAACTAAAAAGGAAGGAGAGAAGGACAAAGATAAAAAAAGCTACGAGAAAAAAGGTACATGTATAAGCAACTGCCACCTACTGGCTATTAGTAACAGTAGTAGTAGTAGAACTAGTAGAACTAGTTTGCAGTAGTAGTAATAGTAGGTAGTAGACCCCCTTGAAAATGATTTCATCCTAGTTCAATACATTTGATCAGTATTAGTATCAGTTATAGTAACAGTACTTCCAATGGCCCTCACCAGTTGGTAGTTAGTGTCCTGCTCACTTCTGCCATTACCTGGCTGTTGCCATGGTTACAGTGCTTGTTTTGTGTCCAAAAGCCCAGAAGATTCTGATTCCAGGAGGACCAAAGTTCAGTCAGCTGTCTAAAATCGCCTATGTCACCTTCCAGGGTAAGACCACCTCTAACGACCTGACCCCTCCCCCTGTACGAATGTCCACTCCCATATAATTTGAAGGCTTCCCACAAACATTAGACAGTAGACATTTGCTAATGGATGCTGCCTCCTCTTCCTGTCAGGGTCAGAGGTCATGATAAAATAATAACCAAAACAAACAAAGGATGGTCAGACTGATGAATGTCACAGACCTCTCTTCTCCTCTGCTGCCATCTTCCATCAGTGTTCATGTTTGTCTCACTTGTCTCAATGTTTGATTGTAGGCGGGGTTTTGTAGAGTGGGTGGAGTTTCTTTGTTAACTGTTATAAGGGGTTAGTTTATTACAAACATACGTTGGAGGAAATATAAACATTATTTTATATGTTATGAGAAGAAACCACATTTCTTTCAGGGAAAAGATGACACTAATAACTATGTGTCTGTGTTTCCGTCAGACTGTGAGTGTAACGATCACTCCAACCGCTGCAGCTACATTGACTTCATCAACGTCATCACATGTGTGAGCTGTAAACACAATACACGAGGACAGAACTGTCAGTACTGTCGCCTTGGTTACTATAGAAACGCCTCACTGATGTTGGACGACGAGAACGTCTGTGTCGGTCAGTAACATACACACACACACACACACACACACACACACACACATTATTGAAACCCATAACTTTATTTAAATTCATCATTAGACATCAGGAAGCACAGCCAGAAGCAAGCAAGAGGCTGACGCTAGCGACATCATGCTGTCTATCTGCTTGCTGCTTTCAGGAGACACATAGCTGCTGCCCTAACTTTGGGAAAGCAGTAAGAGCTGATGCTAAAGCAGTTGCTTGTGATTTTTATGATATATCTTTTCACAAAAAATGTTAAAATGGATGCTGTTTGAAGGAATGTGTCCCATGGATGTGCTCAATAGTAGAATCCCAGAGGAGGTAACTTATTGTTCTGAGGACGGTTCGGTAGATATGTGAAAACATCCTGATGTTTTGTTTAATTTAAGAGGAGTTCATTTTATCCATATAAATACACAGAGCTTGTTGCCTAAGCTGGATGAGATCAATCACCTCACAATTACTTTTAAAGCTGCTGTGATCTGGGGTTGTTCTTATTTTCTTCTATTAGTGCTGAGTAATAGGCTCTTGCCAAATTGAGCGATATTCTAATAATTTGGAAGAGCACCATTTCCTTTCAGATTTCCGCGCTTTTTGCTTTAATTGGCGGGTTTGGTGGTTGTACCACGGTGCTAGTCTCCTATGTTTTATCATTTTCCTCTTTATAGGGGCGATAGAATCTAGTGCTGTTCACAGTTGAAGCTGGCAGCGCTATTAAGGGAGATGATCAATTTGGGAGGGACTAAAGCTGTTATAGGGACTCCTGTTATATTCAGAGCCATGGCATTGAATTAAACAGTGATGGAATCTCCTCCTTAAATTAGGCAATTTTGTCAAAAAAGAAACCCTCAAGACATTTAGAAAACCGACTAATAATAAATAAAAGAATAGTTAATATACCTTAATTCTGTCATAAACTATTATGACTACCATTTTAAGTAAACATATATTTGTTTTTCAGTGTGGACATTTTATCATCTGCAGTAAAAATATAAGACACGTTTGCTGAACAAGAGAAGAAGAAGCAGTAAACAGTAGAAGCCCAGGAAGATCACCGGTGCAACAACAATGTTTTAAAAGGTCCTTTTGGCCAGTTCAATACTCGGCTTAAGGCGCAATACCGACCCTGAACACACCCGATCTCGTCCGATCTCGGTAAGCTAAGCAGGGTCGGGCTGGTTAGTAACTTGGATGGGAGGACACGCCTGGGAATACCAGGTGGCTGTAAGCTTTTTACACTTCTCCCCTTTACAAACCAGCAGAGGACGCTGGCTGCAGCTTCACTCATTCACATAGTTTCATTTCTTTATGTTAAAGTTTTCCTGCATTTTGTTTTAAACCCATAAGAAGCCCAGAGCCATTTCTCCTTGAAGGGCATTATGGGGGAATTTGCCAACAGACCAAGTGGAACTTCATAGAACGCATTTTCTGATTGTTTATTTTTGAATGTCAAGAGATCTGCGATGTGACATATAAGTCCCGTTTGCCGTTTATGGTAAATAAATATTTTATTAATACCTAAATAATTTGAGATTCTTTCTTTTTGTTTGTATTTTTAAAATATACTTTAAATTGAACCAACAGGGCAACATATTCAATTTTGAAATAATTGAAACAGTGAAATTAATTAGTGCCGTATTACCTTTTTTGTTCCCCTTGTGACAAATGACGTCACCCATCAGGGTTTTCCAAATGACCGACTTGAAGGTTAAAAGGCCGCTGTGAGCGTATATATCTTCGTAAACTGTTTGACATTTTTTGTTCAGGAAATATGGTGAGAACAGGTTAAATACAATACAGGGCAGACTATTTAAAGCCCCATAGAATTGTTCAATGGGTTTAAAACTTACCGTCAGTAAGAAAAACAAGCTTTTGAAATACAACTACAATCCATATCGTCAGCAGAAGTGTAAAAGGTTTACAGCAGCCCTGGTTATTCCCCAGGCGGTTCCTCCCCCATCCAATAACTAACCAGGCCCGACCCGCTGCTTAGGCTTCCCGAGATCGGACCCGAGATCCGGGCGTGTTCAGGGTGGTAATGGCCGTAAAGCGAGTATTGAACCTGCAAAAACCCGGAGCGGCCTTTTAAACATGTTGTTGCAACCGTGTTCTGTTTCCGCCATTTGGTGATTGCGTTTTGTCTCTGACGGTAAAATTGTATCATCAAAGTCGTTGCTACCGAGGGTTATGGGGATATGTGGCTCAATAGAGCTGTGACTCTCTGGTCAGCCTGGCTGCAAGTGCTGAAGAGGAACCTGGGGTTGTTTCTTATTTTCGTTCTATTGTGCTGAATAATAGCCCTGCTCCTGGCATTACGGAGGGCCCTTTCTAATATAAGAGTTTCCAGCTTTTTTGCTTTAATTGGCGGGTTGGTGGTTGGTACCACGGGGCCTAATCCTCAGCTATGTTTTATATTTTCCTCCTTTCATAGGGGGGCGATAGAATGCTAGTGCTGTTCACAGTGAACCTGCAGCGCTATTAAGGAGATGATCAATTTGGGAGGGACTAAAAGTTGTTATAGGCTGCTGTTTATTCCAGCCACCATGGCATTGAAATTAACCAGTGATGGAATCTCCTCCCTTAAATTTTAGGCTAATTTTTCCAAAAAAAAACCCTCAACACATTTTAGCAAAACGTACTAATAATAAAGAAAGGCGCGAATAGTTGATATCCTTACAGTTCTGTCATAGAATATCTATGACTAGCATTTAGTAAGACATATATTTCGTTTCCAGGTGTCGGGACATTGTATGACATGGCTGCATGTAAAATAATACAAAAGACACGTTTGCTGAACAAGAGAGGAAGAGAAGAGTACAGCAGAACCAGGAGATGCACGGTGCAACCAACATGTTTTAAAAAGGTCCTTTGTGCAGGTCGCAATACTCGCTTAGGCCATGACCAACCCTGAACGGACGCCGCGATCTCGTCCCGATCTCGGAAGCTAAAGCAGGGGTCGGGCGCTGGTTAGTACTTGGATGGGACGAACCCGCTGGGAATACCGAGGTGCTGTAAGCTTTACACTTCCTCCTTTAGCAAACCCAGCAGAAGGACCGCCTGCTGCCAGCTTCACCTCATCTCACATAGTTGTCATTTCTTTATGTTAAAGTTTTTCTCATTTTGTTTACAACGCCATAAGAACCAGGAGCCAATTTCTCCGCCTTGAAGGTGCATTATGGTTTGATTTGCACGACCCAAGTGGAACTCATAGACGCAATTTCCTGATTGTTTATTTTTGATGTCAAAGATCTGGCGATGTGACCATAATAAGTCCACGTTGCCGTTTATGGTAAAATAAATATTGTTATTAATACCAAATAATTTGAGATTCTATTTTGTTTGTATTTCTTAAATATACTTTAAAATTGAACCAACAGGGCACATATTAATTTGAAGTAAAATTGAAACAGTGAATTAATTAAGTGCGCCGTTATTAGCCTTTTTTGTTCCTGTGATCAAAGACGTCACATCAGGTTTTTCCTGACGATCTTGAAGGTTAAAAGGCCCGGCTGTGACGTATATATTTTTCGTAACCTGTTTGATCATTATTTTGTTTCCAGGAAAATATTTGAGAAAACAGGTTAAATATCAATACAGGGCCAGACTTTTAAAGCATTAGAATTGTTTCAATGGTTTAACTTACCTCCAGTAAAGAAAAAAACAACGGCTTTTTGAATACAACTACATCATAACCTTCACAGAAGTGTAAAAAGTTTACAGCACCTGGTATTCCCAGGCGGTGCTCCGCCATCCCAAGTACTAGACCAAGGCCCGACCCTGTTAGGCTTCCGAGATCGGAAGAGATCGGGCCGTGTTCAGGTGGTATGGCCGTAAGTGAGTTGAACTGCAAAAGGACCCTTTTAAACATGTTGTTGCCTGTTCTGTTGTCGGCATTTGGTGATTCGTTTTGTCTCTAACGGTAATAATTTGTATCATAAAGTCGTTGCTACTCGAGGTTATGGGGATATGTGGCTCAATAGAGCTGTGAACTCTCTGTCAGCCTGGCTGCAGTGCGACAGAAGGAACCTGGGGTTGTTCTTATTTTCTTCTATTAGTGCTGAATAATAAGGCTGCTCTGGCATTACGGAGGGCCTTTCTATATAGAGTTCCACTTTTTGCTTTAAATTGGCGGGTTTGGTGGTTGTACCACGGGGCCCCTAGTCTCCCTAATGTTTATCATTTTCCTCTTTATAGGGGCGGATAGAGAATCTATGCTGTTGCAACAGTGAAGCCGCCAGCGTATTAAGGAGATGATCAATTTGGGAGGGACTAAAGTTGTTATAGGACTCTGTTATATTCAAGAACTGGCATTGAATTAAACAGTGATGGAATCTCCTCCTTAAATTTAGCTAATTTTGTCAAAAAAAGAAACCCCTCAAACATTTAGAAACGTACTAATAATAAATAAAAGAAATAGTTATATCCCTGTAATTCTGTCATAAATATTATGACTACATTTAAAGTAAAAACATATATTTGTTTTTCCAGGTGTGGACCATTTATCATCTCCGCAGTAAAATAATATAAGACACGTTTGCTGAACAAGAGAAGAGAAGCAGTACAGTAGACAGGAGATCACGGTGCAACAACATGGTTTAAAAAAGGTCCTTTTGCAGTTCAATAACCGCTTACAGTCCATAACACCCTGAACACCGCCGATCTCGTCGCATCTCGGAAGCTAAGCAGGGTAGGGCCTGGTTGTACTTGGATGGGGAGACCGCCTGGGAATACCAGGTGCTGTAAGCCTTTTACACCTTCTTCTTTACAAAACAGCAGAGGACGCTGCTGCCAGCTTCACTCATTCACCATATGTTTCCCATTTCTTTTAATGTTAAAGTTTTTCCCTGCATTTTGTTTAAACCCATAAAGAACCGCCAGAGCCCATTTGCTCCTTGAAGGTGGCATTATGGGGGAATTTGCCACAAAGACCCAAGTGGAACTCATAGAACGGCATTCCTTGATTTGTTTATTTTTGAATGTGCAAAGATCTGCGATGTGACTATAAGTCACGTTGGCCGTTTATGGTAAAATAAATATTTTATTAATACCTAAATAATTTGAGATTCTTTTTGTTTGTATTTCTTAAAATATACCCCCCCTTTAAATTGAACAAACAAGGGCAGATATTAATTTGAAATAAATTGAGACATGAAATTAAATTAAGTGCGCAGTATTACCCTTTTTTGTTCTTGTGACCAAAGACGTCACAATCAGGTTTTCAAATTGACGACTGAAGGTTAAAAGCCCGCTGTGACGTATATATTTCGTAACCTGTTTGACAATTATTTTGTTCAGGAAAAATATGGTGAGAACAGGTTAAATTACAATACAGGGCAGACTTTTAAAGCATTAGAATTGTTCAATGGGTTTAAAACTTACCCTCAAGTAAGAAAAAAACAAGCCTTTTTGAAATACAACTACATCATATTGTCAGCAGAAGTGTAAAAGCTTAGCAGCACGCTGGTATTCCCGAGGGTCTCCCATCCAAGTACTAACCCAGGGCCGACCCTGCTTAGCTTCGAGAATTCCGGAAGCCGAAGATCGGGCGTGATTCAGGGTGGTATGGCCCGTAAGCGAGCCCTTCCGGTCTGCAAAAAGGACCTTTTAAACATGTTGTTGCACGGTTCTGTTGTTCCGGCATTTGGTGAATTCGTTTTGTCTTCGTAAACGGTAATAATTGTATATAAAGTCGTTGCTACGCGAGGGTTATGGGATATGTGGCTCTAATAGAGCGTGACCTCCTCTGTCAGCCTGGCTGCAGTGGCTGAAGAGGACCTGGGGGTTGTTCTTATTTTTTTCTTCCTATTAGTGCTGAATAAATAGGCGCTCTGGCATTACGGAGGCCTTTCCCTATATAGACGTTTCACTTTTTGCTTTAAATTGGCGGGTTTTGGTGGTTGTACGCACGGGGCCCCCTAGTCTCCTATGTTTTATCATTTTCCTCCTTTATTAAGGGCCGATAAGAATCTAGTTGCTGTTCACAAGTGAAGTGGCAGCGGCTATTAAGGAGAATGATCACATTGGGAGGTGGACTAAAGTTGTTATAGGACTCTGTTATATTCAGACCATGGCATTGAATTACAACGGGGAATGGAATCCTGCCTCCCCTTAAATTTAGCTAATTTTGTCAAAAAAACAGAAACCCTCAAACATTTAAGAAACGTACTATAATAAATAAAAGAATAGTGTTAATATACCTTAATTCTGTCCTAAATATTATGACTACATTTAAGTGAAACATTATTGTTTTTCAGGTGTGGACATTTATCAATGCTGCAAGTAAAAATATAAAGACACGTTTGCTGAACAAGAGAAGAGAAAGCCAGTAGCAGTAAGAACAGGAAGATCACGGTGCCAACAACATGTTTAAAAGGTCGCTTTTGCAGGTTCAATACCTCGCTTAAGGCCATACCAACCCTGAAACACGCCCCCGATCTCGTCCGCGAATCTCGGAAGGCTAAGCAGGGTCGGGCCCTGGTTAGTACCTTGGATGGGAGACGCCTGGGAATACCAGGTGGCTGTAAGCTTTTCACCCTTCTCTTTACAAAACCAGCAGAGGACCTGCTGCAGCTTCAACCTCCCCAATTCACAATAGTTTCATTTCTTTATGTTAAGTTTTTCTGCAATTTTGTTTAAACCCATAAGAACCAGAGCCATTTCTCGCTTGAAGGTGCAATTATGGGGGATTTTGCACAACAGACCCCAAGTGGAAGCTCAATAGAACGCATTTTCATGATGTTTATTTTTGAATGTCAAAGATCCTGCGATGTGACATATAATCACGTTTGGCCGTTTATGGTAAATAAATATTTTATTAATACCTAAATATTTGAGATTGCTTTTTGTTTGTAATTCTAAAATATACTTTAATTGACCAAGCCAGAGGGCACATATTAATTTGAAATAATTGAAACAGTGAAAATTAATTGTGCTCGTATTACCTTTTTTTTGTTCCTTGGTGACAAAGCGTCACCATCAGTTTTCCATGACGACTTGAAGTTAAAAGCCGCTGTGACGTAATATATTTCGGTAACCTGTTTGACATTATTTTGTTCCCAGGAAATAATGGTGAAGAACAGGTTAAAATACAATACAGGGCAAGACTTTTAAAGCATTAGAATTGTTGCAATGGGTTTTTAAACTTACTCAAGTAAGAAAAAAACAAGCTTTTGATACAACTACCATCAAGTATGTCAGGCAGAAGTGTAAAAGTTACAGCACCTGGTATTCCCAGGCGGTCTCCCCATCCAAGTACTAACCCCAGGGCCCCCGACCCTGCTTAGGCTTCCGAGATCGACGGATCGGGCGTTGTTCAGGGTGGTATGGCCGAAGCGA